ATTTAAGAAGGGAAAAGAGTGTATAAATGAGATTAATTTAACTATACTAAATTAAGTAATTTTTAAATACATTTTTTTTATTCATTCCTAATTTAATCTAAGCACAGTTCTTCCAAACTTTTACAAAATGGAATTTTTTTCTGAATTAAAATCCTGCAACAATTTAATATATTTTGGGAGAATTGTGTCTAAATTTTATTTTGACAAATGTAATGTTTTTTTTTTAAACTCAAATCTATAATTTAAACATGTGGATAAACTTTTTCTTTCTAAAATAAATTTATTGAAATAAGTGATGTTCTTATCTAAAAGAATAAAATTTTGCATTGTTCAGTTATAATACGAGATAGATAACTCATGTTCTCTTATATTATGATGATGAGCCAAATATGTTTTTATTTTATTTTGGAACTGCATTTTAAAGACATTGGAAATTGACAATGATATTTTTTTTTCAAAATAAGCTTCCCGAAAGTTTTATAAATAAATAATTTTTTTTTAAAACAACAATACTTTTTATACCATCAATCTTACTTTAAAACAACAAATTTATTGTGGAAGTTTTGTGATGAAATGCATAAGGTTCTATCAATAGACTTTTGCAGTTTTGTTATAAATTCTGTGTGCCCACCAGTGACAGAGTTGCTAAGAATTGCCAAATGCAGGTAATCGGTCGAGGATTTGTACTTTGCCAACAGACCACTGTGTGGCATTTTCTTAGTAATTCTTGTCATGTGTCTAACACTTAAAATCTTGCATTCATTTTTTATTATAACTGTCACATTTCATATTTTTCTCATTAGAAATGACAGAATTTGCATAGTTTCGAAATAAAAATTTACAACATTTGTTATTTTTTTAAATATAATCATAATTTCAACAAACAATGTAATAAATCTAAAGACCATCACTTGTGGTCTTAGTAATTGTTCTACAACTTACTATAATAAATTTATGTACATTTATAACTTAAATTCATAGACTTGCTAAAAGTTATTTTTATTCTAATGTTTTATTCCACTGTTAGCATTTCATGGATAATTCAAAGTTACAATAAAAATTCAATACTTAAATTTTGGGTTGTGTGTCTGCGTATGTGTGTGCGTGCTGCATGTGTGTATACAAAGTTAGAAATATAGAAATTGGTGAGATGTAGCTGATATGTTTCTATTGACAAAAAAAATGCAAAGATAACCCAAAAATTTTCATTTCAAAGAAACATTAGATGTAAGATTGTTATTGTTTAAGACATTCTACTAACTTTACATGTAGTCAATATTAGACATTTTAGAAATTTTTTAATGCATGTGCAATAACAAAGAGACTAAAAAATAGAAATAGAGAATTTACCAAGCAATTCTAATGAAAAGGGCATAAATTCCAAAATATAAACGTTCATAGTTATAAGTGTTTTTTTTTTCTAACAGAAAAAAGGATATTTTTCACTTTTGCATTCCCAATAATCTGTAAGTATATTTCGTTTATTAAAACAAGTGCATTTGTTTTAATAAATGAATTAATTATCATAATTTTATATAAATTAAATGTAAAATTTTATTAGAAACATAGATATTGATATATGTATATATATGCTTTAGGTAAATATGTAAATATGCTTTATTTTAAGCATTGGAATAACTTTAAATTTTAATTTAAATACAATAGATTTATTAATTAGCTAGAATGTTGAAAATTTTAAAGAACAAAAAATTTATTGATTTATTATTTAATTGATATCTAAATTTTAAAAGAAAAAATTATAATTTTAGTTGTTAAAATAGAATAAATATTGTAAAGTTTAATAGCAATTCATTAGTGCCTTTGTTTTCATTGATGCCATCTAGTAATCTTACTATTAGTTTCAATAATGTTGCAATGCCCTTTGTCTAAATCTGTGACAAAGATGACCAGGCGGTAAGGGACAAGATCAGAGTTGTCTGGATTGAACCACCTGTGTAAATTTCTGAGCAACCTGTATTTGAAGCTAGGTCCCCATGCTGATGAGCCATTTTCTTTACTGTTTGGCCATTTGGAATTGCCAATAAAATTAATTTTTCTCTATGCATCTTAATCATGTTAATAATACAGTCAGTTCATTTTAATACAAATTGCTAGGGGAACAGTAGGTTGTTCACTTTATCAAAAATTTGAATTAATAATTTACGAGGTCAAGGTTGTATAATTTAGGGCTTAATAGGCAATCAAAATCTGTAAATTATAATATTTAAATCAATTTGCTAAATAAAGTTAAATAAAATATATTTATGAAAACAAATTAATGTTCTAAATGATTTTTAAATGAGGACGAGACTGTACTCATTATGGAAGTGTGGTGCATTATATCAGAGTGGTTGAATGAAACAAAGCTAAAAGAAATCAGTGACTTTTTTTGGGTTGAAGATTGCTTGAAAAAGTATAAAATATTTTTGGTGCCAAAAGAGTAAAAACAGCCAAATTTGGCACAAAGTAGCCAAACCTTGAATCACTGTATGCACTCTCCAATATGCAAACTAGCATATGTTTACATGGAACTGCATCCTTAAACTTTAACCCCTATTTTCTGAGTACAGTAGAATGGTCTGATAAAACCAGATGTTTGAATTTGTCTACAGTTGGAGGTTGAAGCTGTCTGCTTATGGGAAGAAAATCTATTCTACTCAATATGGAACATTTATTACATTTCTACATTTTATTGTTCACATTGAAAAGTATAAAAAATAATCATTATTGGATATAGGGTTATTTCTTGGGATTGTGAAGGTAAAATGGCTTAATGAGTTCTGGTAAAATTTTTGTTTGCTTTATTGCATGAAAATTATTGTTGTCATAATGGCATTTTGCCAGGGCAATGGCAAAATTCTTGTCATTGTGTTTATTTTAAGGTGAGTTGACTGCAAAAGTATTCTTTCTGAACATATAACATATCATATTATTTATACACAACAGTATCTAAATGAATTTTGAATGTAAGTTATAAAATAAATGTTGTCACCACTCACATTAACTTAATATTACATGTGATTATAAACTACAAAATTGAAAATAATAATAATGATGATGCAAGAATAATATCCAATAGAAAAATTGAAAAATTATTATACTTAATACTAATAACAACATAATAAAAGAGCTTCAGTTTAAATCAAAAATTGTTTTTAAAAAATTTTATTTTGAATAAATATTTTCTGCATTAATTGCAAATAAATTTTAACAATGTTATTTGCAGATCCATTAAAAGAGAGAGAGAAATGAATATAATGATTATCAGTAGGCATTGTATGTGATCTAGCAAATTATTTTTCAGTCATTTCTCTAATTACAATAAATTAATAAAATATTCAGAATTTAATATTTAAGCACATATTGTGTAATTGTTAAAATGAACAAGTGCATTGTAGAATTTTGCATGACAGTCATTTCAACTACTCTACAACTTTCATTATTGATTTAATATGTAAAGAAATAAACTATGTATCTCCTTTAGCATTGTTACTCCCACTTTTTGGGGAGTTACTTCCATTCACTGATTTAGTTTCATTTTAAGGCTAGACCCCATTTCTGTCACTGACTCTCTCTCTTTTAAACCTGGATGGGATAGGCTAAAGCCAATAGGGGTAGGACTGCAATACTCTAACTCAGTATTGTGTCAGACCGAATCTTTGGGCCCCTTACCTTTTAACTTCAACAATCCACTGGGAGCTGGTGTATTGGCAAAAGCTAGTCATTCTTAGTAAATTAATTATGTGCAATTTAAATGGGTTGTTTATAGCTGACTAATTAGTTTGAAACTTTCCTAGAAATTGATTTAGAAAGGTCCTTTAAATTTTATTAGTTCTAATTATCTGAACAAATTTTATAAATGTTAATGACTTTTCATCATTGATGAGTTTTATTGCTGTCAAAGAATGTTAATGCAAAATTAATGCACAATAAGTAACCGAGCAGATGCCACATTTAGTTGCATTGATACAAACAACAGTGACATTAACAAGAATAAAATTATTATAAATATAGAATAAAACAAATTATTAAAATTGAAAGTTTATATAACTTTATTATGATGTAAGAAATAAATAAGTGTATGCTGCAAAAATTTTGTTACATACTCAATGAGACTAAACATTAATTGATTGTGTACTAAATTATTGAGAAAATGTGAAAATTTATAAAATACAGTAATATAAATTAGGTCAGTTTTTCCTTCCCTTTTTACCCATTCTGCTCTGTTGGTACTAAGAGACCTACTTTCTGTCCCATTAGATTTAGGTAATCTCACAATAAGGGAAACTTAGTGAAGGATCCTGATGCATTTGGTTCAAATTACCCTTAAAAATTTCTGAGAAATATCCAGATCTAAAGTTGCATCCTTGGAATAATATGCCTTCACCTTTACCGCCTTGGCCAGATGGCCATCAGTATAAATTAGTTTAAAAAAGGCACATTAAGCTCTTCATTGTTATTGAGATAAATGTTAATTTAGAAATTTGATTTTATTAAATGTTTTCTTGCCCAATGATAATTTAAGATTAAAAACAATGATATCTGCTAAACTGTCCTTAACTGTAAAATAAAAATTATAAGATAAAAAATTCCTAAAATGCATTATATTTATCATTAATAAATTTAAAATGCTTTATGTTAGATAAAGTAATGTGAGGAGAATTAAAAATTATTATGTACTTTATTCAACAATGTTTGATTTTGATACCATGGTGATGTTTATAAATAAAATTTTCATATTAATTCTGTTCATATGCAACATTTAAAAGAACATTTATAAAAACTTAATAAACTAAAATTTACTATTTAAAAATTATAATTACTAAAATTGATTGTAAATGTGATCCCTGTTTAAAAACCCTCTTCGTTAGATTTGCTACATCAAAAATAAAACATTAGAAATTGTTTTTCAATTGTATAAATAGCTTATATTGCTGTTAAAATAATTAAAATTGATGATAACTGAATCCTTGTTAATGAACTGTTCTGGTTTCTTACAGCAGTGCAACAACAATCAAGCAACAGTTAGCCGTCTCTCCGCTGACTGCCGTCAATAGGCCATTCCCCAGAGGCACCGCGAACCGCAGCACATTTCACAGTGGGCAGACAAGAGAAAGACGCCATATCAGTGCTTACAATGGTCCCGGAACGGGTCCGATGCAGACGCAGGACACGTCCGGAGTGACACACGCAGGCAGACAGTCATTTTTTAGCAAATTATCTTCGAAATTCAGCAAGCGGTAAGTGATTGCATTTTCTGAATTAATCGATTTGGAAACGAAGAGGAAAATCTCGTTGCCGTAGATAAAATGTGTTTTAAAATAACTTTTGTCGTGTGCCATTCACGAATCTGATTATCAGTCAAATTCCATTTAAATTTGGTATGTTGAATCCCATGAGGAAATTGATACTATCGACAAGAGATGTAATATACAATAGACAAATTATAAATTCTGTTTAAACTCTGTAAACTAGAATATTTAGAATCAAGACTGTATTTTTACAAAATTCTATTATGTATCACAAGTATCAACTGTGTACTGAGAAATAAATAATTGGAGAATGGAAAGTGTTTTCTAATTTTATCTTCTATGCCAAGTTTTACAAGAAACTTCAAATGCCATAAATCACTAATAAATCTTAATTATGAATTATTAATAAATGAAACAGAAGTTTTGTAGTTTAAATTTTTGTATTTGACTGTCCTGTCTGAGGATATGCAATTTTTCTTGTAAGAAAATTTATATTTTCAGTATACAGCTGAAACTTTATAAACATCAGGTAGTGGCCCTAGCATTTCATAAATTAATATTTTCCTTTGTGACATACATAAACATTCCCATTACATGGGAAACACTCTTAGATAGTTTCCAATAATTGTTTTTGTCTCTTACACAGTATAACATAAATTAATTATGTCATGCAGTAGACTACCCTCGAGTCGATTGACAGTAATCATACAGACTCGTGAATATCTTTATATTGAAATTTCTATGATATTTTTTGAAGGGAATAGCAAGTGATTGTCTTTTGTTCATAAGTGATAATGCAAACATTTATCTTTGCTTGCTTGACAATTGACCTGAGGGTTGTTTACCGTCGAATTAAGTGCCAAAGTAAGGATTGTTGTATGCATAGAAAGAAAGAAGTAAAATTAAGTCACTTATGGGGAAATTATATTGCGTGCCATGTCTGGTAGGCACTGTTATGTAGTTACTACTGTTTTAGGTAACAAAATACATGTATTGTTCTATAACAAGCGCTCCATTTCCTAAACATTTAAAAAAATGTAAGATATCTGTTTGTTATATACAACGATAACATTTGTTCCGTTTGTTTAAGGACAGATAGGTCATTTGTGGAAGGAAATTGTATTTTATATTCCATAGAAAAATTTTGCAAAATAAAATATATATGATTATCCGAATTGTAGTTTTATGTCCAAAATCGTCACTTGGTTTCTAGAGTTGTTTGCATGTTTCAAAACAAGAAAATAAATCAAATAAATGAAGTATAAATTTCAGAATCTTCAAAATTGTTATTTCTTCTCAAATTTGTTTTTATTAATTAAGTTAAAAGTATGAACATCTAAGATCTATACATTTAAGTAGCAATTTTTATAAATATTACAAGAATACACCAAATTTTTATCTTGTTCAATTTTACTGTTAGCATAAGAAAGTTAAATAAATAAATTTAAATAATATTATTGTAATTTTATTTAAATAAATGTTTATCAAAATCAAAAGTCTGATTGCTAACAAAAAAAATCCAATGAGTTATTAATGAGATTGTCGTATAAAATCCAAAAGCATTTGTGATTTGTAAAGTGATTTGGTCATTTTACTTAATCCTTCAGTAATAAGTTGTAGCTAAGTGGATAAATTTTGGTTTTTAAATCCATTATTGGAACCGCTCAATATTTTTTGTAAATATTACAAAATAAGTTAGATTAATTATTGGTTTTGTATAATACTATCTTGTTAATGTACTTTTAATTAATTCTTTGCCACTCATCCATTGTCCAAAGTATAGTGAAACATCGAAAATGAACATTAACCCTTTCGACAGTAATTTCACCGCCAGTGTTCTTTCATCTTTGCATTGTTGAAGTTCTAACATTAATTTCAAAATTAAATTACAAATTCTGAATGATGATTATATTTAAACAAAAAATATACTAATGATTTAAATATAATTTATGAAAGTAAATTATATTTTGAATCTTTGTAATTATTCCTACATTTAAGCATTTGTAAGTGTCAAAAATCTGGGCAGGGTTCGACCCCGATTAGTCCAGATTTTTGATGCTTCTCCACACTATATTTTAACACACATAGATACAAACATTACCAGTTTTGCATATCATACATAACTTTAATTTGGTCACTAGCAACTATATTCATAAATATTTGAATATTTTAGAAACTGATATTTTGTGATATTTTCCAAATTTTTAAAATATTTTAGTATTTCATAATATTACTGAAGGATTAAATCATATTATACAAATAAAATATTTTAAAATTAATTATATTTAACTAATATATCAACCCTTAAAATAGTTACTGATTTTTTTTTTATTGCAAACAACAAAAACGTTATAAGTGAGTTTTCAAAATGATGTTGAAATATAAAGATGTAATATTGTGGCAGTCATTGCAATTGATTGTTAAATCGGCTTACTTTAATCTATAATTGTCAAGATATTATTTATTATAATTATTTTTTAATGCAACATCATAATCATATATGCATTATACATTTTTCGAAAAGTTTAACAGACAGACAAACTCAGTTTTACGAACAACACAAAAATACTCTTCACGACCAAATGCATAAATTCTAATCTACAATCAGATACATAACCAATCCGATGTCTTCTAGATTATGTAATATAGTTTACTACATTAACTAGTTTTGTATTGTGTATATCTAAAACTTTAAACTGCATGCATAAGCTAATAAGAAGAGTTTTTTTTTTTTCTTTTTATTTATTTATCAATAACCACATCTAACACTGAAATTATCTTAATGTGTGAAATATCCTGAGACAGATTTGCTCGCCAGTCTTTCTGTTCCCAAAATTGCTTAGTTGTCCATCGATTCTGCCAGTTTGCTGTCTCGAATTGCAGTTACATTTTTGTCTTTTATTTGCTTAATCCTAGAAAAATTTTCTCGTGCGTTGCTTTGGATCCTTCTGCCACCATCTTCTGACTGACAAGCATCTCATCTATTTGAAAATTGAAATTTTGCTACTGTCTTCTATATGAATTGCTTCTCCGATTGTAATTTTCTTTTCACTTTTATGTAACTGCATATAGATAGAATTTTTAGTAGAATTTCAAAATAAGTTTCATTTGTAGACAAAACTGTCCATTTCCTTCCAGCAAAATGGTCCCGTCCAAAATAACAATATGAGCTTTTGCTATAATTTTTTGTGCAAAATTTCACAAATAATTTCCCCCTTTTTTTTCTAAACAAAGCATGTATAGTGTACAGTCATGCATTTTTAATTCGAGATTTAGCCAACAAAATGGATTTTAACATGGGTAAATGTCTGCCAAAACAATACTTGCATGGATGACTAAACCGGGGCTCAAAACTGGCATTGCATGCATGCACGCAGTACATGCATGCTAATTATTACTGTTTTATGTCTGCATGCTGTTTTGAATTTGTAAATGAGCATGATCCAAAATTGTGTAATTTTTCACAGAATTTAAAAAAGCTAACAGAACCACTTTGATATGCCCATAAAAAATATTTCCTGTATGGTTACAAGAAAATACTTAAATTAGATACATAACGAACTAGTAAATATATGTTTGTGCAATGTTAAAAGCATTTTATCTGTATGATTGTAGATGCGAATTTTACCCCTTTTTTCTTGTCAAATACCATAATTTTATCAATGCAGTTAGAGTGACTGCTCTTAATTGTTAACTGTCAAAAAGCTGCACCTTTGGCACTGACGACACCGTAATTATTTGAAATTGACAAGTTTTGAGCCCTGGTTTAAACTAGTCCAATAAATGTTATATTTCCTTGACACAAGGAAGTATGACTGCAAAAAATTACGCTCGGCAAAACAGGTTGCAAAAGTAATGTGTTTGCACATACAAACCATTTGTCTAACAATTAAGCAAAGTCAAAATAATGTAAAACATTCATTATGCATGATATAGGCCTGCCAGACTGGGAATGCCGAAGACCAGAGTAACTCATCAGTTTAATGTAGTTGAGGAAGATTGGCTATTGGAAACGCTGGATTAAAGATGCATGACTGTTTATAGAACATGTAACAAATAGACGTAAGTGAAACTTCTCCATGTGTTTATTCATTTGTATATCGTATATCGAGACACTCGTCGGTTGAGATGTTAAAATTCTCACTCTCGTCCAGTTTGAGGTAAGTAAATTTATTTGAGGCGGAGAGGGATGAGAAGCCCGTCCATTCTGCAGAAAACGTCATGGTTAGGTTCGAGGAAGCTGACACCGGTTGTCGAGATAGAACGGTTTGTTTAAATCCAAAAGTAATTTGAACTATTTGGCACATTAAGGGTTGATTAAAAGAATGTTATTTTTAATAATAATATCAAAATTATATTTTAAAATTGAAATTCACACTTAAAAAAATATTTACATTATATTATATTGCCTAATACCACATAAGATAACTAACAATGTCTTTATAGGACCATCAACGACGAACAAGTGAAGCCTCGTTCTCTGCGGTTTACATGGAGCATGAAGACCACATCGTCACGTGACCCGAACGAAATCATGCAAGAGATACGTAAAGTGTTAGATAAAAACAACTGTGATTACGAACAGCGAGAAAAGTTCCTGTTGTTGTGTGTTCACGGTGATCCAAACACAGACTCCCTCGTCCAGTGGGAGATAGAGGTGTGTAAGTTACCTCGTCTCTCTCTCAATGGCGTGCGATTCAAACGCATCTCCGGCACATCCATCGGATTTAAGAATATCGCTTCAAAGATTGCCAATGACCTAAAGTTGTAGGGAGACAAGCAATCAAATTGTTCATAAGTATTCCATCTAGGCAGCTGCCGCATAAACCCCCACGGGATATGAAAAAAAGATGATTCCAATTTGCATTGGAGTCGATGTATATGATTTCTGGCAGAGAAATGTATGATACAAACTGTTAACTACATTATCATTATAGCTGTAGAAACATTTTCTTTAGAAGCAGACATTTTAGGAGTGGTATTCCATTTCCTTTGAATTGCCCTTATATATTGTCATGATTTTGATGTTTGGTGAGCAAAAAAAAATTATGAAAATTGTGCATCTGTAAATGCGAAAACAGTACAATTCCTATTTGACAACAGTAATCCTCATCACAAGATTCCTTCCACATTAAGACAGAACTGTAAATTCAAAATCTGAACAGCAATATCACTAAGGTTATATTCGAATTAATTAATGTCGGATGTCATAAAATGGCTAATTTCCATTCTTAGGGTTTTAAGTTCTCTCTACACTTTGCTCGGTCCCTTTTTCAGTTAAGTTTCTTTCCAAACCTATCTGGTTTGCATCCAGCATAAGACCGGTTATGGTTCGGAGAACTTAGATGGCACTTTATGTAACGTTGAAACCACTTTGTTTAAGTGGGAATTACCATTTTTATGATAAAAAGACAGGCAAAAATGAAAAGGGTAAAGCGCGAGATTCTTCCACGTTTCCCTTATTTTTAGAAACAGTTAAGTGTTTGCTACATTTTATGCAATCATTGTTTGAAGTCGAATTTATATGCAGAACGTTCGGAGAAATCTACGAGATCAAAGTGTTCTAGCGATGTTACGGCTTTCTCCGTCTTTCTTCTCTTTCTCTATTTATATATAAAATATATATAATATTAAACCCTCTACAATCACTTCATCTCTTTAGAGTCCTTTTTTTCCCATGCCCTTTTTTTTTTTTATCGCGACGCGTCATCTGCAGTTGCCCGTCCCGGGCGGCGACTGGCTGAACAGAGGCCATTCCCACCTGGCGAAACATTTCGGTTCGCGTAAATGACTGACCTCCCCTCCGGCACTTCCGTCGCTTCTGGCATGCAAATCCGCCCGACAGACACCGGTGCTACAAGTAGTTCTCGCCCCGTTTGATATCCGATGTGCACTCGACGCCGGCACCAAAGGACGACGTCGCCCAAAACACTCACATGTCCAAGATGGAAAAGGAATCACCACTAAATCCCAGAATCAAATTCTCCAACCAAAAATAAGAACAGTAAATAAGAGAAGATACTAAAGGATAAATAAGAGACTTTTTTTTTGCTACCAGCACAATTATTTAAACAGGAATATTATTGCACTCTGGTGGTTTGTTATTCCATTGTTGTATGATGAATACTGTAAATAGACTTCTTTAGCTTCTACTTCTGTTGTAAACTTTGAAAAAGAAAAAAAAAAATAGTTTTCAGCAAGTATATAACAATCGATGTAGATTTATTCAAAGATAGACCTCCTCCTCCTGAAAGTAATAAAAGGAGTAGTAGTCCAGAACCTCGTGCTTAAACGGTAAGATTCTCGGAAAAAAATGATCTTGCAAACTGCAGTTGTTCACATCAACAAATATCATGCATGTAAACAAGTGCATATTTTTTTTTTTATTACAATACATTGCTTGGGAATTTTTTTCCTGTATTGTGATGGGTAATCCCTTAGATAAATAATCATATGTTGACAGTCTGTATACTATCTGATCTGTAAATGTGGTTATGTGATTATTTGTAAAAGAATACAGTGGAACTTGTTTGAAAACTTGTTCCAGAACTGTATAATAACATTTAAAAAGTACTTTATGATCCCCTTTAGTTAATAATAGTAAAATATACTACTACACCAATTGTTTTGGCTGTTGAATTTGTGTCTGTCTGTCGATCTTTTGCAGAACAAAAGACGCGAGACCACCGTTCATACTAGACGGGTGCGGGCGTGCACGTGCAAATTAATCAACACGGGAAAATAAATCAGAAATTGCGATTTTATTGTTTCGAACCGAAGGCAAAACGTACAATTCCTGGCAGACTTGTTCGGTCTAGCACAAGCTTTCCGAAGTGATAATCAAAATAAGACAATTATGGAACATCTCAGTTTTGTACACGTTCCATTGAATGACATTAGAAATCTTTGGTTGAGTAAACAGATAACAAAAATATAGATTAAATTAATATTAAACTTTTTTACATTATAATAAAAATTCTTGCATGTAAATATATGTGTGTGTGTATATATATATATAAATTTATAAAATGATAAATATTTGTCACTATCAAAAGTATTATTAAAAAATTTTTCAATATGTATGTATATAATATCTGTACAAAAGATATTAGATGCTGGTGAGTATTTTAAGTAAAATGCCTAGTATACATAGTGTAAAACAAGTACAGAAACTAGTGCAGATCTACTTTGGTTGAGTAGAGAGTGTTCTCTTTCATAAATTCATTTCCTGCACTCGAATAGATGGCATTGTCCAACAGTATGGAAGACGAGTCCGGAGTCTGGACGTCCACTGAGTCTTCGGCTTCCTCTCCCTCTCTCGGTATGGGAGGCAGTTCGCGGAGTCGGAAGGAGGTGGTGCCTTCGGCACTCTCCAAAATTTCGGGGACCCGGGGAGTGTCCGAGTCAGCATTCCTCTTTTCTCTTGACTGGCGCTTCTGCGCAAAGTCCACCTTGGCATATATGTCGGAAACTGGAGACGTGACAGTCGGAGGGCAGACATTCCCAAATGTACTGCAGTGGCGTGGCCTCACCTCCTCGTATATGTCTTCTCTGGAAGGTTCTGGAAACCGTCCTGTCTCCTTTTCTGGAGGGCCATCCCCACAGTATATGTCTGAATAGAAGGGGTCTCTTTGGTAATAATTATCGTCTGCCTTGTAATTTTCCACGACAACTGGTAAGTTCGAAGTAGTTTTGGCAAACTGGCCCAAATGCAAAACACCTTTCCTGTATAAAATTGCACAAAAGAAAAGTCATAACTATATCATCATCACAAACCAAATTTTAGTAGTTTTTGATAGGTACGCACCTTCTCAATATATAAACTGTTATTAAGCAAAGAATGAGGAATACCACTACGACAACGATACCGATTACGAATCCCGCTGTAAACAAAAAATTCTCATTTAAAATAACCTTAATTAATCCTTACTGTGCCAATATCAGATTGCATTTTGGTCATAGCTAGTTTTAAGCAGAGGAAGTGTTGAAATTTTGTCCACAGACTGCATGCTGCTTCTAAAAATGAATTATACCTCACTCATTTTGAAAGTTTACTTTTATATCTAACCAGATTTGTATTTTCAATATAATTAATTAATAAAAATGTCTAATAGACAGACAGAAAAAAAAATACCTGATGATATTCCTTCGTTATCTTGGGTATTGGGGGTTTCATCTTTAGACTGTCTAGATTTAAGTCCTAATAAGAAATAATAATAAATATTAGTTTTTATGAAATTTAAAAATCATTATACATAAAGTCAAACAAAGTATGCATATTTATTAAATTTTAAATAATATATATGTACAGATTTTTTGGATCTATTGAAAAGAGAACTGTCATAGAGAAAACATATTATTTCACAAAAACCTCTTAGGATGTCTCTTTTTGTGAAATGATATGTTTTCTGGGAAGCAAATAGTTCTTGATATACAATTTCAATTATGGTCTTTTGATATTTCTAAAATGATGGTGTCAAAACGTATTATTGCTCTCAAGTTTGATATCAATGGAAGATGATGAGCAACTTAACAAATTATAAATTTTTATAATAATCCCTTCTGTAAGATAGACATTGTGTCCAACACCAAAAAATTTACGATATGGTTTTTTTTTATGCTACAGTCGTGCATTGGCAAGTATTGTATAAATTTGGAAATTTTTTCCAAAACTTCTCATGAACAGAAGTAGATAGAACCAAACAGTTTTTAGCATTACAATCTAATCTACTTCTGTTTACAAGAATTTTTGGAAAAGGATTTTCCTATAGAAAAAGCATTCGATTTTCAACACCATCTGTTGGAGATTGCATGCATAACCAAAGAGATTAACATTTTGCTTTGCATATTTGAAGATGTAAGTAAGGCTGATGCATATTGTATTTGATACAATATAATACATGAAAAGAATACAAGCCAGAGAAGCAGTTTGTCAACATAAGAGCCCGACATGGCAGTGATAGGATAGGGTTGACCTAACCATTTGCCATCTGCAAAAACATAAATGCATATAAAAACAAATCTATACAATATTCTATGTATGCAAGTAAGAGAATTAATGTTGCTCTTAAATTACAAAAGACAATTTCATCTAAACACTTGAATCTTGTTTTTACTATGCTTTGTTGGTTCAAAAAGTATTAAATTTAATGGGTCTAAATTGGTTGTTATATTTATCTGTTTCAACTTCTGGAGTGATTATTTTATATTATACAACAGAAAGTGCTTTGTTTTTAAAATTCACCCAAGTTTTTTTTATCATTATTGATTTTCGAAATTTATCATGTGCAAGATCAGATTTGATGACTATAAATATTCAGTGTAATATATCTTCATAATTTAATTTGGTTGATCAATTCCATCAGAAACACTGTTGTCAAGTTCTTTTCTTTATTGTATTATAATACAAGCATCAAATAATTAATAGATTTACAATCTATCGTAATTTGGAAATTAGGTGTGAGCAATGATGATGTCTTGTGTTGGATTTAATAATTAGAAATAAATTATTTGGTTAATTTAGGATGTCTGAAAGAAAAGAATGGAATTGAAGGATTTGTAAACCACTGGTAATGAATCTATTCCCATTTGACTCAAACTATGTCATGTGAATTGCCAGTTTCAGAAATGTATGGTTGCATAGTATTCTAAATTACTTAACGCTCGTTGCCATCAATAAAAAGTCTTGTTAAGAAAATACTTCTTCCAGAATATATGTGAGAGAAATATGTGACTTTACCCTTGCATAAAATGTTGATAGTCTTTTCAAATTTTGTACATCAAGTTTGTCTTACTTAAACCATACTTCTTATTTTATCCTTAAGATGTTAAGATTTTTTATGATCTTCTGCAGCTAATGTAAAGGAAATGATCAGAAAGAACAAGTTCTAGATAGGACAGCTTTAATTAATTATCATTGTATATGTTTGCTAATGCTATTGACAGATTTAAAAATTTTTACCATACCTATTAATCCTGATGATGTCTGTTGAGAACAAATTGCATTTTTTATTGACCACCGAGCAGTCTCTTGGCACCAAATATAAACAGATTTTCCAGTAGGCTTATAGCCTTTGTTGCACTGCAGTTCTGCAATGCTACCGGCAACAGTACCATTCTGGAGACGATAAGAACCTCCGTGAATGTTTGGAGGAGGTCCACAGTTGACCGCTGAAATATTTATTCATTTTTAAAGAAACCAATAAAAATTAGGGAACAAAAATGCAACAGTAATTACGTAGGCATATTGGATTAGCTTCCGTCCAAGTTCCATTCTGCAGACAATTTCTGGTGTCATTCCCAGATAGTTCATAACCATCATCACAACTATATGTTGCAACTGTACCAGGAATCAACTTTTTACCAATTTGTTTGAAGCGAACTTTTCCATTTTCAATTGGTTCTAATACATCACACACAATTTCTGAAATAAAATTGCATTCTATTAAAAATATTTGGAATATAGCATGTAAAAATGATTTTAAAAACTAGTGAAAAGATTATATTTTAATAATGAGAATTTCATGATTTATATTAAAACATTTATTTGTTACTTTTTTGCTGTAAAACTAAAATCTTAGACATAACAAAGATATGAGTAATTATTTTTTTTATCTCTAGATATGATTATATAGAATATTGCATTTTAAAAAAATTTGCAATGGAAACTATTTTCTTTTTTTTATCAAATAAACAATTTCTATTATATTATTAGCTATGTATCTATTAGCTTTAATGTTATTTTATAAATATCACTAGGCAAATTAATTAAAAAACATATCAATCAATATTTCATTTAAAAAATTGATGATTATGTGATTAATCAAGAAACAGTTCTATATTGTATTTTATGGAAAGATCTTTTTGCTATTAAATTTATGATTATGGGTTGAGAGTTCATATTTGTTGTAATTGCTGTTTTCAGTTTATCAAACAAATTTTGCTACAAATGTTTTGTACTTTAGATAATACATGACTATTGAATAAATTTATGGATTCAAATAACAAAATTTTGTTATGTTAGTTACAATTTAGCAAGTGTTTTAGATATTTTCCTTAATTTTCATATGTAAATAGTTGTGATTACAATCAAACTTAGTTTTATTATTTAGTCATGTTAATGCTGTGTTATGTTATACTTATTCAGTTTTACAGTCTCTGATGGGATCAATATTTCCTCTAAGCTGTGAGGTACAGTACATGCCACACGCATAGCTAACTCACTTTTTTATGATTACTGTTGAATGTACAAACTTGGTTTATATGTTTAACTCTTTTTTTTTAAATAATGTTACATAAAATCATCAAAAAAAAAATAACACTTAATTATCTGTTTGGATGAATTTGCATGTTGTTTTAACTTCTTAAATCAGTAATTTTCTGCTCAGAGCAATATTTGTTTCACACTGCTAGAGAGAAAAATGAGAAATCCCCTCTAATGTCATATATAGGTACTTTTATTTGAAATTGAGCCAAAACTATAAAATTCTGTATTTAGTTAAATCATTTATTTAAAAGTGCTTTAGATTTCTGCTTCAGTGGTATAATATTTCAATTAAAATACAGTTTACTGTCATAAATAACATAATGTAATTTAAGTACTCAAAGTGTTCTTTTCCCTTTTTGTAGTTTTTATCAACACACACAAAATGCCACATGGGACACAATAGTAATATGTACTGGTGCCAATGCGTTTCCAGATCAAAGTAAATACAAACAAAACTAGTATTGTTTATTATTTTTTATAGTTATAGCACAATAATTACCTCATCCATTCTCCACAGAAGCTTTACTAAAAACTCAGTGTGCATCCACAAAATAATTTTTTCACTATTTTGTATGTTGTGTGAGTATAGCTATGTGATTTAGTTTTTTTGTCAATGAATAATAATGTCTAGTCTGTTGCTGTATTGTTTTGTCTATGATTAAAGCTTGGTCATAGTACATTTTGTATGTTGTTTTCTATGACCATCTGTGTTTGTATTATGGTTCCTGTGTGTAGTAGTTTGTGAGCATGCACGTTTATGATGTGTTATGTTTACTCACGTTAACATAACCAAATTGCAAGCTTTTAATGCAAACTGACTGCTATCAATGTGATACAGTCAACCCCCTATAACACTGTTGATAATCCCATTTTTTAAGATCCCAACATTAATTTTGTATTCTTTTAGCTGAAGATGACCTAAATTAAGGTCAAAAACATTGTTTAATTAAATGCTTTTGGTAACAACAACAAAACAAACTGCTAAAGTTATTATTATTATACTGCCAAATTTCATGGATTTTCATGATAATTATGCCTTAATACTGAGTAAATGTCAAAGGAAGATGGCTTGTTTTCTACTCAAGAGCAGGAAGCAATTTTTCCTAAACCAATCAAATAAATATCAGTATCGTACTCAATTGAAAATGATATTACAGGAAATCTTTGTTATTTTAAAATTCAAGGGATGAAATAATCGTGACTTCAAGTTTCGAATTATCTGAGATTTACATATCTCTGTACAATATACCAAATGCCATGTAACTAATGTATACAGAAGGTTATTTTCATTAATTAATTAATTTAATAATAATAATATAAATAACACGTATCCAGTGAGAACCTCACAGGTTTTATAAAAAGTAAAGCAGAATTCCTCTAAATGTAGCCCAGATTATTTTTAAAGTGGCTCAAAAAGTAGCAAGTTAACCTAGAGCCTACAAATACCTCAATCTGTTACTTGTAGCCCAATCTTGCAATACTAAAAACCAGCCATATTTTATGCTGGCTTTTAGCATAGAGGCATTTTGATCTAAATAAACGAGTTAACATACACAAATCACAGTTCGGACAGAATTTTCACTTTGAATTTCAAAGTAGCCATATTTCAAACTAACCAAATTCCTTAACATGTAAATCCCTATATCTTCAGCTGGGTCAAAAGTACAGTTACAAACTAATGGGATTGAATTATCCAAGTTTGAACTAACGAGGAACCTGTATTACTTTTTATTGAAACCTAAATGAAGTAATACAAACCTTCACATATAGGTTGAATATCTGACCATTGCCCACTCAAACACTGTCGTCTTTTGGGACCTCTGAGGCTATAACCAAAGGTGCACTGATATTCAACAGTATTTTTATCTACTTCCACAATATAAGACTGATATGGTCTTTCAGGAGCTCCACATTGTACTTGGCCTAAAACAAATATTGTAAGTTCACATTTATCTGATTGATTAAACACCAATTATGCTAATACTAAGAAAGATTTAATATTTTAAAAAACAAAACATTGATTTAAAATAATTTAAGGCAAACAAAATTTATTAATACTAATTAGAATCATTAGATAATCTTGTTCAATATCTGAAATATATTAAATATGAATTTTGTGAATAATAGGAAAACAGTAGGCTACAAGTAAGTTGCTTTACTTATCAGACAATATAATTTTTAACCTAGTGCTACTGTATAGTAAGAAATAAGGACCAAGGCTGAATAATACAAATCAGCAAGTGAAAAATTCATCACCTTTCACTTAATCTTGTTGTTGATGTTAAAAATTAAAATCAATGATTTTTTTTTCTCACCTAACCCTCTCATCTTCAACATTAAAATCGTCCATGTTAGTTCAGTTAATTAAACATAATTTCTAGCAGGTTATTTCAGCAAAACAAACAATATTTATAATTAAATATTCATTATTTTTTTAATATTTAAACTTTTTTGTTCAGTTTCCACTAAATTCTGAAATTCCACAACAGATAAATAATATTTCAAAGTTGTACTAAATAAGAACATAATTTTTATTCATTTTTTTCAGTTTTAAAGTAAATATAACAGTGTAAAGTAAATTAACAGTAGAATATACATTTTATTATTAGTTTTTTAAAAATGAACATGAAGGTTCTCAATGCAACTTCTTATAATTTGTCAATGTTTAGTAATATGGGTTTTTTCTTTCTGATAAAAGATTGAGATAAATGTAATAATGAAATATACTAATAATCCAAGTAATATAACAAAAACATCAGTCAACACTATCTACATTTCTTTTTGTATGAAAAGACTTATATTGAAAATTCACTTTCTTCTAAAAAGATTTTTCAGAAGAAAGCAAAACAAAGTCTATATTATATATAAATCAAATTTCCAATTTATCAATGATGATTAATTACATAGATTTTGCTGTAAATAAAGTCATAGAAAATTATAAGCTACCATTAATAAATTAAATTGTATGATGATATATTCCCAATTAAATACTTAATATACATGATTCCATTTCAAAAGCATATATCATACAATAAATAACTGAAGAAATCAATCATACTGAATATTCTGTTACTATGTATTTAAGATATGGTTAAACTCTAGCAAATTATACTGCCATGTTGATATATTGATAGTATTAATACTATATTAATGTTTTTAATGAATTCTTAAAATTATATTTGTTTAATATAATGTTGCATGCTCTTATTGTTACAAACTAAATAATGAATAGATTTATTATTAATAGTAATAATTTTGTAAATAAAAAAAACATTGTATTATTTACAAATTTAAACATATTATGTATTTTATATTAAATAAACTACAAATTCCTTTAGGAATTAAAAAACTGAAATAAAAATATTAAATATATATTCAGGTATATTTAAAGTAAATTTTTATACATGACAAATTTTTCAAAACTTGCTGTTTTATATATATTTTTTCTGTTTAAAAACATGCACACAGATTTTTTTATTATTAAAGTCACATCAACCCTAAAGTTTCCATCATCATTAAAATAATTTTCCTTGTTTCATTAGTAACCATACTTATTGAAAACAGAATTCAGGTTTTTTTTTGTAATCTGTTAACTGTTTTTACAGTTTTGTTAATATAAAATCATGTTAATAATGATAACAATTTTACTTGATACATAAAACTTTTGCTTAATTTTTTAGTGGTAATGATTTAAAAAAATTATTTTATATATTAAAACAAAGTTACCTTTCACAGAAAAGGTTTATTCTGTGAAAGGTAAATCAAGCATGTGTAAGGCAAAAATATAAAATGAATGTTATATACACGGTGTATGTTAAAACTCAAATTTGTTATGATGATGATGATGGTTTAACTACCAGTCTCTTAAATTTTGTCAATTAATTATTTAAAAGAGAAAATTAAGACTCCAAGGTATTTGAGGTTTATTTGTAATATTTCATGACTATCTAAAATTAAAGGATTAAAAAAAAAAAAACTTTTATACTTTAATTGAAACTGAACTTTATTATGAATCTCATTTAATCATTATATAATTCAATTTTCATTTTAAACATCAAGAGAGTTTTAGCATAAACTATTATAAAACTTAATCAAAGAAACTGTTGCATTTTTAACTAAATTAAATTAAAATTTAGATATTATTCATGTCACTGGCTTTTCTTTTATAAAATCTTTTGTCCTAAGGGCACTAAGGAGAACCTTTTTTATGGCCTTCATGAGTTCAGTCAAGCCAAAAGTGGAATAGCTGGAGGAAAAAGACTGACACACATCAATGTTTGATCTAGACATGCCAAAAAATATTAACTGTTTAATATGAAGTTTCAAATGATTTTTTGTTGTGTTGTTGAATGAATGACACATTAAGACAATATGATATGAATAAGACAAAGATATTAAGACAAATGATTCCAAACAAATTTTCACTTAAAAAAGTTTAATAATTTAATAAAATATTTATTGAATGATCCAATACTAAACAGTTACTGTAGAAATAATACTGATGAGAACAAATATTTGTATAATTATAGTTCAAGGATATTTATCTCTTTTTGTGTTGAAGGTTTCAGTTCTTAAATAATCAGTTGCTATAACAATCAGTTTTATAAATTCAACTATATATTCTCAGTATGCAGAGAATTGTTTTAAATCAGTGTTTCCCAAAGTGGGGCCCACGCCCCACAAGGGGGCAATTCGATTGTTAAGGGGGGCAATTTGAAAATGAGTTGTTGACCCCCTTTTTTTTTAGGCATCAGAATTTTTCATCGAGCTATTTGGACTTGATTAGCTAATATTGGAAGATTAATCGCGGGCCACATAAATTCATTAGACAGGCCATATGTTGGCCATGCCTGGTATAGCCACTGTATATGTTGGGGGGCATGAGAATTTTAGAAAGACTTAGGTGGGGCATAGCACAAAAAAGGTTGGGAAACACTGTTTTAAATAGAAGGATTAATTATTATATTAATATTATAAAGCTTATGATTACCAAACCAATACAATATATAGCATAACATCATGGAAATGATTTGATATCTAATCACAAGGTTTAAGCCGTAATTAAAAATAACAATAATAATAGATCTCATTTTGATCATTATTAGAAATGTAATAAATATATATTCCATTTCTCTATTTATAATACAATTTTTTTATATTCTTCTCATCCCATCATCATGACATTTATGTAGCTACATTAAAAATGCAAAAATATCATCCAGTAACTAATGTATTGATAAATAAAAGAGAAAAATTAACACACCTATTTAGTATATGAATAACAAACTACAAACATCTGGTCAAGATTGACTTTGACATTTCTTTTTAAAAGGAGGAAGAAAATGCAATATATATATAAATAATAATTATGTGTAGATATATTGTTTTAAATTATCTGTTTATAAATTATTCTGTTAATCGATTGATTATTCTCTAAAGCTTTTATTTGGATAAGAAATTGCTAACTTCAAATAAAATTTATTTGGTAATTTCAAGTTAGCTGTTTCTTATTTTATGACAAAGATATTATTAACTTTCATTCTGCTAAGTAGAATAAGTAACTTAATATCAATTCTTAGCATATCTATTATTTCTAATATTTTCTCAATATACAATTATACTTACTCCTTGTTACAAATATTTCTACTTCACACAGACCAAAATATTCAGGAACTTGTCTTCTGTCTTCAATATGGATATATTGACCAGCAATTCCATTATTTTGACTACAAGATAACTTTAAGGTTTGAGTTGCTGTATTAAATAAATTATTGTAAGTTAAAAGAATCCCATTCAACATTAATTTCCAATTAAGATATGGGTATGTTACCTAGAGTGCCACGAAAAGGGGAACAAGGATGAAATGTAGCTGCTCCATTATCAACACTTACTACATATATAGTAAAAAGATGTTGATCTAAAAAAATAATAGTTTCATATAAATTATATAAAGGGTAGACTTCCAACTTAAATAAATCTTACAAATCTAATATCATTCATATTTATATACTGATATAATTAAACTAATTTATATCAGCAATTAATCTAAATAATCATAATTTATGTAAAAATCATAAATAATTACTTGGTTTATCATTCCAAATTTGAGGAATAGTTACTGCAACAGAATTTATCTGGTAAGTATCACCTAAGTCAAGCCGCCACCATCTGGGACGTTTTGGACTAACATAAGTACATGTTCCTTTGTGCTTATCAATAGCAAAACTTGGTGGATAATTAATCATTGGAGATGATGCTGTGGCCACAGCATTGAGCAAAGATAATGAACTATCTATATGAGAAACAAATTTGTAGATTAATTACAAAATTATTTTATAATTGAAACTTACCACAAAATTTAATTGAGAAACAAATATCTGAATAATATTTGAGTTCTTTGTATGAACAACTTAAAAATCTAATAATAAAAAGTATGTTCACAGATTTATTATTTTTTGTATATGAGTAGCATCTTTATGTTGCTCTATCCAATTAGGTATTTGAAGGAAAAAAAACTATTTCCACTTCAGATGTTTCTATTACCTTCAAGAAGATTTTCAGTTAATACTGAGTGTCAATTTAAATCATAAATCCAAGAGTTTTGAATGATTTTAAGCAAATTTGAGATATAATTATTTCAATATGGTTTTGTATCACACAGTGTAAATTATTACATGATAAAACTAAAACAGCTTGCTTTGTGACATCTTATATGTGCCTGAATAGTGAATAAATATAAATTTCAAAATAATGAAGCAATAATAATGATTGATATGTAAATTTATAAACTCATGTTTTATGTATCTTATTTTCTTTCATTAATCTGTTCATGAATGAAAATAAAATTCAATTTTTAGATGTTACTATTAATAAATAACTAATCAAGAATTTGTTATAAGATAATTTATGTTATGATAATATATTAAGTGAATAATGTATTATTATTATTATTGTTTAAAGTATTAAAACTTTAATTTTTCAAAATTATTTTTATTTCTACAAATAACCAAGCTAGATAAACAAGTTTATTTGTTAAAATTTATATTTCAGGTTATTTATTTATTTATTAAAAATTCAGACATTCTTTTATTTGTAAAGGATTTGAACAAAATTTCCATTTTTTGAATTTATGGATATCATTAGTTATATTAAGTACAGTTGAATCTTGAAATAGCACTCACTAAATTGTGCCAATGAATATTTATGAATGAAATTTCTGCATAAATATTAATCAGAGAATCTTACATTTAGTAATTTACAGATACTGAAAGATTTTGCTTTCTAAACAACATTGAAAGTTGGTGATAAACTCTCAAAGTGTGTATATTGTTTGAAGTACAGTACTTCAGTTTTGCATCATATTCCTTTAGTACCACTTTCAGAGACAAATTGTTGAAATAAATTGAGGTTTGACTGTACTTGTTATTTTATTTTGCTATAATAAAGTTTTCTCATTTCTTCAAAATAAATTTACAAAGAACCTGACTTTTATTTACATTGTATCTATTATTATGAATTTTGACAAAGAAAGTTGATTGAAATATTTTTGTAAAAAATGTTTATAACAATCATAATTTATAATATATTATTTTTTATTTTGTTTTTATTTTAACATTTTGGGGTTTGATAGAATTTGATTACCACCACCTATAACAAAACAATACCTATAGTAATTGCATAAAATAAACCAGAAAATTTTTATTTATTTAATTTATGAGAAAAAAAATATAATATATTTTTTAAAGAAGAGAGAAAACCCCATACCTACTTACAATTTATTCAGTTTAATTTTTTTTATAAAGAAATATAAAATACATTTTATAATACAACTATATCAATATATTTTTAAAAGATCCTGTTTTTTAATTTTGTTCTGTCATATATTTTGGTTTAATAGAAAAAATTTGACTTATTAATTGTTAATTATTTTGTACATATAAAACTATAGATTTGTGTGTAGTAAGTTGTAGTTATATTTTCTGTAATGACATTGATCTAAAATAGCTGATTCATTATTAATGAACCTAATACTGTATTAACTTTCAAAATTATATTGTATTTTCTTTAGCTATCATTTAATAAATACAGTTGTTAAATTGTTTAAAATAAATAATACAATATAAATGCATTAACCAGAATTTAATCATATGAACAATACAAACAAGGTATGTCATTTTTTTTGTTCACAACAATTTTCTGGCATTAACCCTAACATATAAGAATATACAATAAATCCCTATTATAACTAATATTAATAACTTCCTCAAAATAGTGATGAAATGAACTAAACTTCCTCCAAAAGCTTCCTTCAAAGTCTTATTTTTGTCTAGACTAAGTTTTATTGTTTTTCCTTGGATAATTTCAGATTGAAAAGGGGTTATCAATAATTTAAAAAAAATAAAATGAAGAACAGTAATTGAAATTTTATTATTTCTTAATAATAAAATTTCAATTAATTAAATTTCAATTTCAATGATAAAATCCTTTCTCTAATAATTAAGGTGCAGCACCTTTCTAAAAATTTAGCTGTTTTCATACAGATAGTTCAAGATATATATATATTTTTTGGGGCATGAAATGAAGCTAAATTAATACACTATGTTGCACCTTTTTGTACCTTTACATGAGATTAGCACATTTCTCCCCCTTTTCCCTCCTCTTTGATGCTTCAGTACCTTTTTCCTCACTTTTCTTTGTATTTTAAAAGATTGGGCAGAAAAATAAATAAAAAAATATTCTCACTCTTCTTGATCAGTTACATAAAATCCCATGCCCTTATTTTGTAGAGCAGATAGAGAGCTACAAAATGATATATTTACCATCATTGTAGCCCCAATAGTTCTCAAGATAACGTAGCAAAATCCTGTAAGAGAAAACACAAACATCGAACAAAACAGTAGCACACTATTATTTGTCAGTTCTCTATAAGGTCCACACCCAGCATATAAAGAAGGGTCAGAAAAAGAGCATTTCATTCTGGCCTTAGACTTTGTGATGGATAGTTGCTCTATACTGGTTGCTATGTTCAAACCAGAACCCATTGTTCACAATAAAAACATGCCAAAGGTTAAGATGGGAAAGTTGTATGCACTTTCAGAAGAAATCAAGATGCAATTAAAATTAAAACTAATGGTCTCATTCTTTGATGTGCCATCTGCAATGTAAATATTGCAATTGATGAGAAGCATCAAAGAGACAGAATAAACAAGCACATCCAGTTCAGCAAGCATACAAAGAACAGAACTTCACAAGTCAAAATCTAAGCAAACTACCTTGATACATGCCTCCACTTTAGGATCCGAAAAGCAGTGGTCATCAAGTGAGTTCAGTTCAGATCTTACTCTGGCATTAATCCAATCAGGAATTCCAGTCCACAAAGCAAACAATGTTGCATTCAAATCATTCCTCAAAAAGTACATGCAAAGGCCAGTACTAGATGAGAGCACCCTTAGAAAAAATTACATAAAGCCAATTTATGAGAATTTATTCAAGAAAATAATAGTAGTAGTTGATAAGCATGAAGTGAGATTGGATTCATATTAGATGAAACTATCGAAGAGCTACAAAGATATAAATTGAATGTGCTGAGGTTTCCATTATCCAGTGAATGGGTGAAACCCATACTTTTTAAGATATACCAACTTAAGAAGATAAATATCTGCACAGTAATACAGTCATTCAATGATTCATGTATGAAGTTGTGGTCAGGGAACATACAATTCAAAAAAGTCAGGCTTGTGGTGAGCGATCAAGCATACTACATACTTTCGACTTTCCAACGACAGCCACAACCAAGTGCATTGTATTGCATATGGACTACACTGTGTTTGTGAAGATATCAGGGAGGAGGTAGGGTAAATGACTTCATTGCTGCTCTGAAGAAGATTCTTGTGAAAGTCTCCAGTCATCAAGTTTTATACAGAGAAGTCACTGGGTTCCACGTACAGTTCCCTGTCATAATCAGCTAGTACTTGGATAAGATGCACAATTTTCTTGTGAGAAAACTTTGACAAAATCAACTGCTTCATATGTGCTCTATATTCAACGGACACAGCAGCCATTAAGCAGGCTCAACAATTACTTGATGACAAAACCTACAGTTGAACTTTTCACAGTACTTGGCTACAAGTATTTGCCTGATGTGATTCAGTTTGGAAGAAGAAAGTATGGAGAAGGAGGAACAGTGGAAGAAGTTGATGTCTGTGAGGAATAACCTTGACAGATTAGCCAAAGTCAAATTTGAATTAAATTTGAGGAACAATCCAGATATGGAAACCTTTGTAACTTTGACTAAACTCCCTTTCCAAGTGCTTATAATGGGTGGGCAAGCAAGAGTTCAGTAGGAGCCAAAATGTAGGTTTTGAAATTCATGGGAGCTGCAGTTCTGTACTTTTTTATTCTGTACTGCTGTTCTGTACCGTGATTTTATTATATAATATAAAACAAATATTTAATTTTTTAATAAACATATTTTCACAAAATTGTGGAAATAAAATTGTAAAAATAATAATAAAAAGCAGAAATTAACACTTTCAGCAAGAGCCGCATTTGCCCATGTCTGGCTTATAAGATATGCTCCATTGGTTTCAGTTGATGTTGAGCAGTTTCTCCTCATACAAGAATCTCCTGAGCTCAAAGTGCCAGTGACTTCCTTTAAAAACAGAAATGTTGTGTGCAATCCAGTAAATGTCATGTTTACCTCCTAAATATGTTTAATTTATAATAATTACTATAATGTTGAATAAAGAATGTTTATGTAACTGGTTTAAACCTGAATAAATGCATTTCATCAACACCTTTTTCTGTACCTTTTCCCTCTTTTCTGACCATAATTTTGTATCTTAAAATCAGTTCTTTAATAATTACTATGATTTTTCTTTAGATTGTTTGTTAATATAATTTAAAAACAATAAATTAGTCAATTACAAAAAAAAATCATATATGGTTAATTATCTTACTTAAGTTAATTGCACACACTCTTCTCTCTCTATACATTCCATTTCAGATCACTGATCTGCAAAGTTGCTTTTGAAATGTGTTGAATAATGGATTCCGGAATTTAAAAAATTATTGAAAAAATTATGTACATTTAACATTTTAACAAAATAATTATTTTCATTCATTAAGAGAAAGTATGATCATAAAATAAAAATAATATTTTTTTTAAGTAAATCAACATCTATTTTGCTTATTCTTAAGTAATATTTGAAAATAAAGTTATTTGAATTTTTACAACTTCCTGTTTTTCATATGACCTCTTTTATCAACTGACATCAATTCATAACTTTATTTCATGGTCTACTTCTTGTATAATGGACCATTTCTAGTAATGTCCTGATAATGGATTTCTCTAAATGTCAATATTTAAATAATTTCTCATTAAACATTTCTACAGTTTGTACTAAAAATTTAGAGAGTTTTAAGAATAGAATAATATAAAAATTAGATGATGCTTTCATTATTATTTAAAGATTTATCTAAGAATTATAGATTAATCATAAATTGTAAAAAACAAAAATGGATGGATGATTCTTTTATTTGCTGTTCAAGCAACTCTGACTTTACATGCCTGAGTTATCACCAGTTTTATGTCTTCAACCATACGGAATTGAGTTTTTAGCATTCAATATCAAGTGCATGATTGATTCAAAAATATTTCTCACTATTCACTGCTATTTGCTAAAATCACCATTTAAATCTTTTCCAAAACAAATTTTATGATAAACTGGAGTATATTTTAACCTACCTAATTTTAAAATTAAATTATTAAGAGAAGTTTAATCATGTATTAATAATTTATGTTAATATTAAATAAAATTAATTTAAATTTAAACTTTAATTTCCAAGCCAGTGAATCAGATCATAAGCTTCTTGTGATACTTTAAGGTTGAAAGAATGTGGTGAGAGATTAGAGACAAATTTTTCTTCTTTAAATGCCATAAAATTAAGCAGAAACAAATAAATTATACTCTTAATAATTAAATTCTATAATTAAATCATCATTTAATTAATTGGAAAACAGAAAATTTTGTCATTCAATGGAGCATTGTTAAAAATGCTTAATAAAAAAAAATTATTTAAACAGATTTAAAAGTTATTTAATAATTGTATAACTTTTTGCTTATATTTAATAAATCGTATGGCATGTTTTAAAGCTAAAATCTAATATACTGAAAAAATATAAAAAGAATTCTACTCCTTGAACAAAACTAAATATTCAGCACTTGAGAGTAAAGTGTTACATCCTTTCCATAATTGTTGTTTACAATAAAGACACAAAGTATACAGCTAAAAATTCATGAATGCGTTATTTTATAATTTAACTTACCACAGACAGGCACAACTCCTGACCAAGTTCCATTTTCTTGGCATTTACGTGTGGAATAACCGATTAAGTAGTAGTTATCATCACAGAAATAAGTAACTTTTTGACCCACATCATACGAATCTTTCTGTTGTCTAATGTTACCATGAAATGGTACTCCCGGATAACCGCATTTATGACCTGAAACAATCATATTTAGAATCTACAATTTCAAAATACTGTAATAAGCATCGATATAAAATCGTAAAATAATTTTTTTATTTAAATACATATTTAATTCGAAATCTTTTAAGTTATTTAAAATCGACATTTGTGGACAATTTGCAAAATTTTAAAAGTTTCAGTAAATCTCTATTCCTTCCTGGGAAGAGAAAAAAAAAGTTATACAAATATGTAGGAAAAAAATCCCAAATAGGTCACAGATCAGCGATAGGGTAAAAATCGTTACTGCCATCACATAAAATATATATTTACCACTCCTTTTAATTAGTCATAACATTTCACTCTAAAATCTATAACTAACGTTATATCGAATCAACAATCAACACATTACGTCAGCAAACAGAAAAACTCCTATCCAAAATCTTTATTAATACATTCTTTTTTGAATCGATATTTTGTGTAGAATTTACAATGATAGATAATTTTTAACGCAAACAAACTTAAAATTTTCAAAATTGATTTAAAACAACAAAAAAAAAAACTTTTCATCGCCATCTGTTGACACCCTAATGTGACACGCCCAATTCGTAGAGAAGTTTCGTAGCATATATCGCGATTGCGAAAGGATTTAATTGTTTTTTTTTATTAAAAAACTGCAGAAGTAAGCGCAAACGAAAAGCACTGGCAGAAAAAAAAAATAAAGCAAAAACAAAAAATCCCTATCAAATAAACTAGCAATCTCAAAATCAACCACCGAAACTCAATCGGATTCGTAACAAGCGACGATTAGAAGTTAATGTTTTCTACCCGTGCATACGCACATCTTAAAAAATTTCATTCAGTGTATAACATTTTTTTTTTCACTTTAAGAATGAATAACATTTCCACGAATTCAAGTACGCGTCACTATCAGATTACTAATCTGAAGGGCTATATTTCTGGATTTTTAATAATAAAAAAGTTTGGACAGCTGCCAAGAGTACATTTTTCTTTTCGGACAAAAACAAATGAGGTAACAGGCGTTAACAGAATTCAACAAGAGTTTGGTTTCATTTTTGAGTCATCCATCTTTTTTTTTTATATAAAACCATGCAACCATATTTGGCCTAAAACACTATTAATTTAAACATCAATATTTAACATCAATTTAGAAGCTCCAATGTAAACATTTCCAGTCAAATTAAGTATCTCTGAAGGTTTCTATGATATGAATTAAGAAATAAGAATGCCTTTTTTTCTCTTCCTCTATAATTTGATTAAATATTTCTAATATAACTTGATACAAATTTTGTTTGTAGAGCATGTAATAAAATATGACAATTTTTTAGGCATTCGGTGAATTTGGCGATATCGTTTCTACCGATTATCGCTGTAGCAGTAGGAGTAATAGTCGTAGCGACCAATAATAAAAATTCTACACAAATATATCCCGCAGTATCTGCCAACGCTTTCTACTACTCATTTTTGGGAATTTTTAATATGAACTAAACCTGCTTTTCCTGATCACATTCCACATTCATAACAACAGTACAAATCCAAGTACTAAAATACCATATGAAAAATTACTCAGTATGTGTTAAAAATTCCGATTACGCAAACAATTAAAAAGTATTTAAGTATTCATACATTTCTAAATGTATGAATACTTAAAAACTCATTAAGAATCATTGATTAATTTAATTATAAGTATATAAAAAATCGTTGTTAATGTATAACTTCGCATAAATTAAAACGATTTTTAGTAACGATAACCATTTAACGTAAAAATTTGAATTTTGCGGATAATAAAGCTTTAAAAATCAATAATATTTTGATCTTTTACGTAAAATTGCAAAAAATTATGTATTTTTCATTCAATGTTTTTTTTGTATATATTTTATGTACTTTCAATGTGTAATTATTATAGGAAAAATATATGGAACTTGGCAGTTATTTTTGTGTATTTATGTAACGATTCGATATGTCAAAATACAATCTTTCTTTATTTTCAAAAGTTAAACTAATTGCTATTTAACTTTTGAAACTGTTTAGCTTAAGGAAACTTTAAAAATGAATATGAAATGTTTATAAAAAAAGTTTGAAAAATCGTTTATAAAACTTTTCATATTTTTACATATGTTATTAAGCGCAACAGACTTTAAAAAATATATAAAATATACGGTACGTTACACTTATTTAATATATAAATCACCATCACCTGTCACATGATTATAAACTCTAATCATTAAATATTATAACTGAATTAACAGTTTAAAATAGTTAAAAGTAAGAAAAAAGTTCGACGTACTTTGACTGAAGCCAAGTAGAACAAGGATGATGTTAACCAAACAAATGATAGACAGATCCATCAACCATTTTACATCCAGAATAAATCGGATTTTATGAATTTATAACAAAAACATCTTTTTAACATACATTACAATGATAATGCATTATCTTCCGAGCTTCGTTTTTAACTGTATCCTTCTCTTATTAAGTAAAAACGGGTAGCAGTTAGTGACATGGATGAAGTACGGGTGGCAGCCGATCTTTTCAACCTCGCCGTGACGTCACCAGTAACGATGCTGGCGCCATCATTAATGTTTATCGTCTGTCATTATCGTCTCCGGTTTTAATAGTTTTGCGGTTTATAAAAATATTGTTTCGTCATAAAAATGGCTATTAATAAGATAAGTTTATCGGATCATTTCGTATTTCTTGGAAAAAAACGTATTTTTTTTTGTGTAACTGTGGCAAACGATCTTTTCAACTTTGATGACGTCATTAATCTTTTGACAGTTATCGTTTGGCGATAACTTTTAATTAATAAAAACAAATACTTCTTTAAGAAATAATTTTTGTTTTGTTTAACAACTAAATATAAATAAATGCTATAATTATTTAACACACGCGAAGAATTTTTAATGGTCTGAAATTTATATCCCGATAACTTTAATAAAAGTGAAAAATTGATTATTAATTATTGAATTTTCTACAGATTTATTGTATTAACAATTTTACATTACATGTTAAAGATTGTTATTTAAAACACATTTGTTAATTCAATATATGAAAGCAAAGTATCTTTTTTTAAATAAACATGCTATCTATTATCACCAAAGAAATTGATGATAATTGGTACCATATTTATTTGGAAAAAAATAATATATACTACTTAAAAAAATCAAATTTTTAATGAAAAACTTTAAAAATATATCCCTGAAGTGATGTCCCAAAAGTTAAATATAAAGAAAAATTTAATAAATAAAGACATAGTTTGATACATTAGAAAAATATTTCCACATATTGGCCATATCTTTATAGACATATTCATATGTCTTTCTCATTCAAGCTGAAATGTACACTACATACATGCATTTATACACCTATGTATATATCATAGTTATACACCTATGATAATTAAACTTCAAATACAATCTTTTAGGTGATCCATAATGTGAATCTTTTCCTAGTACACCACAGCCTTCAAATGCTCCCATAAGTAAAAATTAAGAGTTAAGGTCTGGAGAGCCAAAGCCATTCCACAGGAACACAATGACCAATCTATGAACCCCAGAAACTGATGATCTAATTTTCCTATGTATGACGACTTTTGCAACATCCTGTATATTGTAGAGTTATATTTTGTAAATGAAGAACAATTACAAATTTTCATTATTACTATTAAATAACGAATATATAGTGTATAATATAAAAAATGTGGATTTAAACTGTTTTTAAATAAAATTAATAAATAAATGCTTGTTTTGTGCCTGCATTTTTTTTAAAATGTCTAATGTAATCAAGCAAAGAATGTGCATTAAATTTTGTTTTTGTGATGGAATTACTGCTACAAAAGCATTGAAAATGTTAAAATGTTGCAAAAAGCATTTGGTGACAATAGTCTATCAAAAACAAGAGTTTGAATGGTACAAGATGTTCAAGGAAGCCAGAGAATGCTTTGAAGATGAACCAAACTCTGGTAGACCATCAACTGATGAACACATTGCTCCAATCATAGATTTGGTGCTAAATGATTGCCATTTAACAATTAGGGACATTATTGAACATGTTCTGATATCATTTGGATCTTGCCAAGCAATTTTAAAAGATAATTTGGGTTTGCAATATATTGTTTCTTGAGTCATTCCTAAAACATTGAATTTTTCCAAAAACAACAGCATGTTCAAGTGGCCAAGGCTTTCTTCAGTCAAATTGTTCTTAAAATGCATCATTTCACGTGCCATCAACAGGTTTCACAAAAATAACTTTAAAGCATGTTTCAAGGATTGGAAAAAATGTTAGCATAAGTCCATTGCAGTGGGCAGGGATTACTTTGATGGGGATGAAATAAATTTTGATGAATACATTCAAATCTCGCTTTTTTTTTGAACTATTCCTGTACTTTTTGATCATAGGATAGTAGTAGTTTTTATATGAAAAACAATAATTTCAGAAAATCAGAACATAATAAAGTGTATATGCTATTACATTAGAAAAACAAAAACTAATATATATATATATATATAGTTTTATCATGTTCTGGTAGATAATACAATATTTT